GTATGGCCCCAAGGAAGGAAATCGTCGTGACATGGAATTCACTCTTCTCGGCCTTCACGAACAGAGAGTGTTGGCGGAGTCGGTCCAGAACCTGTCGTACATGGGACACATGTTCACTCAGAGAGTTAGAGTAGATTAGGATGTCATCAATGTACACTATGACGAAACGATCAATCAAGTCCCTAAAAATGTCATTCATGAATGCCTGGAACACAGAGGGCGCGTTAGTAAGTCCATAGGGCATAACACAATATTCATAATGTCCTCGATGGGTGATGAAGGCGGTCTTCCATTCATCCCCCTCTCTAATGCGCACCAGATTGTACGCACTCCTGAGGTCCAGTTTACTGTAGATGGAGGCTTGCCCCACCTGCTCGAGGGCCGCTGGAATCAAAGGAAGGGGGTAACGATTTTTTATGGTGATATCGTTCAAACCTCGATAGTCTATGCAAGGACGAAGTCCGCCATCCTTTTTCTTAACAAAGAAAAAACTGGATGCGGCGGGAGACGTAGATGGGCGAATGGCCCCTTGCTGAAGTGCCTCATCAATATACTTGCTCATTGATTCCCGTTCCGGCTGAGACAAAGGGTAGATTCGTCCGCGAGGAGGGGTAGCCCCGGATAGCAGATCAATTGCACAATTCCAGGCCCGATCCGGTGGTAGCACGGAAGCCCTCTCCTTGGAGAACACCTGCGCGTAATCCTGGTACTCTGTAGGAACAACAGTAGACACCGCACCCTTCGCATCCTCCACAGTAGACGTTTTGCAAGGTAAAATGAGGCACTCAGCCCTACATACCTCACTCCAAGCCGTGATATCGCCAGATTTCCAGGAGATGACCGGATCATGGGTAACGAGCCAGGGGTGGCCAAGGACTAGCGGCTCCCGTGGGGCGGAGATGACGAACAGAATGATGTTCTCATGGTGCAGGGAGCCGACTTGTAACTTGATTTCCCCGGTACGGTGCGTAATGAACCCAGTGCCCATGGGCTCACCGTCTAGCGCGTTGACTCTCAGGGGAGGTTGAATTGGGATAAGTTGAACTCCCAACTCCTCAGCAAGACCCATATCCAGAAAGCTGGCAGCCGCTCCGGAATCAATAAGTCCCTCCAACCTGCGCACTTTCTCTCCGACAGATAAGGTGACAGGCACATACATTTGTTTAGATGTAATGTTCAACACTGGAGTCTCACTCACCGGTTTGGCAGTTCCGAGGCGATATCCTGGGGTACGGTTAGGTCGTACCGGACATTGACGAACGAAATGACCCGCCTGACCACAATACAGGCATAGTCCGTCTTGCCGACGTTGTTGTCTCACCGAACCTGGTAGAGGTGACCGTCCCAGTTGCATAGGTTCCTCCTCAGATTCTCTCCTCCGCTCTGTCGATTGCGTAGGACCAGTGATCGAGGGCTCCCGGACTGTGGATGCCTTGTGTTGCACTATAAGATTATCAATAGAGATGGCTATTTTGATAAACTCATGTAGCACAGTGATATCTCCTCGACAAGCCAACTCAGTCTGTACGTCTTTGCGCAGCCCTCTTCGGAAAACTGTGAGCAAAGCAGTTTCGCTCCATCCGCTACCGGCTGCTATAGTACGGAACTCTAAAGCGTAGTCGGCTACTGTGCGACGGCCCTGCTGAAGTTCGCATAGTTGGTCTCCCACACTACGCCCAGATACTGGGTGGTCGAACACCTCTTGAAACAGTCTCTTGAACTGAACTTCCGCATTCAACTCGGGGACCTCAGCTGCCCAAAGCGCAGTAGCCCAATCCAGTGCTCTTCCCGTTAGCAGAGAAATCATGAAATCCACCCTGCTACGGTCATCGGAAAACATAGTACGATTATACGACACATACAGGGACATCTGGAGTAGAAACCCCTGACATTTGCCAGGTTCCCCGTCGTACCTTGTCGGTATAGAAATCGGAGGTGCATGACGAGGACTGACCGTACTCGGGGTGGTGCCTTCCGCTGCACCAGCGTTGAGTAGCTGTAGGAGTTCATCCATGCGTTTCTCCTGTATCTCCCATCGCCTCTGTAATTCCGCTGGATCCATGGTAATGGCGAGGTATTCTGTAATGAATACTCGGACAGAGTGGTAAGATCCAATCGCAGAATAGCGATGCTTTATTAGAGTACAGACAAGGGAATAGCTTAATCGTGGTCGGGCGGGCTGTGGTCAAAACCGGGCCAGGCATAGACAGGCAGAGGTACCAAAGGAGCGGGCTTAGTCGTAGTCGAGGTCACAGGCACAGGATCAGAGAACGGTAATCACTGGGGTAGACAAGTAGAGGATTAAGCAATTCGGGAAGTCAAACAACAAGGCACAGGTCGGATACACGGGTAATCAAAAACAACAAACTCTCTCTCTCTCTCTCTCTCTCTCGGAACAAAACGCTTAGCAAGTCACAAAGGAACAATACCTCGCACCGACTGAACCTCTGAGCACACCTTATATCCTACCCTAATTATGGACAGGTGTGCTCAGAACTCAGGTGAACCAGATCGAGTCTGATGACTCCCCCTCTCTGTAGATCGGGGAAGTGTCAGACTCTGTCTAGACCCAGCCAACCCCCGATCCCTTACACAGTCCAAAATGAAGAGGTACCGGATCCTGTTCTGGCAGGATCCAGCTCAAGTTAAGCACTTTCATAATTAATAAATAATTATTTATTTTTATTCACCGAAAATCCGATTCTGTGTCAAACGGTTTTGTTATACATTATTTCAGTCTTCTGTGATATATATAAAGTGTAATATTGGAATGCAAACTCAAAATGGAATACATTTCCAGAGGTTAACCGTTTGTCTGTTACCCTCATTGTTCTTATTCCTGAGTCTGATAGTGACCCCGATAGCGGAGATGAAGGCTTTTTCTCCTGTACCCTCTTTACTGTAAAACACATTGATCCAGCCACACTGTGTTACAGGTAGTTTCAGGTTTCACTCCAATCAGTTTAACTCATGTGTGAACACATGCTTGTAGGTGGCAGGAAGCCCTAGCAGCATCATACGTGTAGATAGTATGCATTAGAGTTGCAGGATTGATGTGTGTTAAAGTGCTACAGTGGATGGAGTATTGTGTGTACAAAGAATGCGTCCAGATTTAAGTGATGTAGCCACGGCAAAGGGCAGAAGGAGTGGTGTGTTGTAATAGAAATCTGTGAAATGCATTCATTCTGTTGGTAAAACTCTTCATTGGCATGATAGGTGGTGGCTTATTTCCCAAAATGCCTTCTATGGGTTGTTTGGTAATGCAAAGTCATTCCATATTCTCTTTGCATATCACAGTCTTTGTAAGACAGATGCCAAGCTTCCTAGAGAGGAAACTCACTAACTTCTCTAGTCAGTCCAAGACAAAGTAGACTGATTTGAGAGGAGAGATTTCCGGCAGTTAATTGATGCTTGATTAGTGGAATATTTGCCGAGCCTGTTGTATAAATAATAGATATAGACAAAGAGTCAGTATTATTGACTGACAGGTCCAATTATCTCAAATCAAGACTAATGGACCTACAGTAGTGGAAGAGCAATGTGAAACACAAAGAAGACAATTAGTTACATTTTAGTCATTTAGCAGACGCTCTTATCCAGAGCGACTTACATGAGCAATTAGGGTTAAGTGCCTTGCTCAAGGGCACATCGACAGATTTTTCACCTAGTCGGCTCGGGGATTAGACCCAGGGACCTTTCGGTTACTGGCACAACGGTCTTAACCACTAAGCTACCTGCCGCGACTATGTGTGTACAAGTGTGTGTTTGCCTATTTGCATGTCGTCCTATTTTTTACAAACACATACAATTTTGATCCAAATGTGTTTGTATGTTAGTGTGTGTCCGCGAGTGAGTGAGTGTCTGTTCTCCTCATTATATGGCACAGTAAAGCTGATGCAGGGCCCAGATACGCCAGCATGTGTTGATTAATGATGCTGTGGGGTATGTCCCATGTGTGACAGACAAACTAAAGGAGGACAGGCAGCAGTGTCTGACTAAAGACCTGATAATTCACAGGCATTCCACCCTATATCTCATTGGTGTCTTACACCCCAGACCCTTGAAGAATGTAACATGGCAAATTTCTCTCATGTATTCTCTCTTTTTCTTCGACCAACATGGGTTTTTACAAGGCAGTTGTATGTTCCCTATTCCATGGTTTCCCAAACTCAGTCCTGGGGACCTCCCTGGGTGCACATTTCGTTTTATTTGCCCTAGTACTACACAGCTGATTCAAATAACCAACTCACACAGCTGATTCAAATATCCAACTCATCACCAAGCTTTGATGATTTGAATCAGCTGTGTAGTGTTAGGGCAAAAACCAAAACGTGCACCCAGAGGCCCCCAGGACCGAGTTTGGGAAACCCTGGGCCTATTCGACTGTATTTTAGCCTTTCGTTGTAAGCGTAGTTACACTCCAAGTCTCATGGTGGCGATAATGCACAAATAACTGCCATCTGCAGTGTCAGAAAACCCAGCCCGAAGAAACGCCTTCTTCCTCGGCGCCTGGTTTTTGAAACCCTTGGAAAAGTTGAACCAGACAGGTGTGGTAGCTTGTGTGGCTAGAGACAACGTAGTCCACTTATTATCACGAATTACAATATAAGTTGCCTTTGATAGCAGCTGGAAACATCAGCCGCGGGACACTGTTCTAGGAAGGACCAAAGGCCGTAAGTATCTGTTCATGTTTGTTTTAAGTGTTGTTAAAAAAAAACTAAAGTTAGCTAACGTTAGCTAGCTAGCTAGCCTGCTTGCTAAAAAGTGTTTCAATCAGTTTTACTAACTTTGGCAGCAAGGCTAGCTATCTATTATTTATAATCTTGCTAACATTATAACTACCTACCAAATAAATAAAGTCGGAGAGGAAAAGCTATACTAGAAATAGTTTCTAAACCATACTGTACTGTCTTTGCTAGAAAATCTTTGAAGTCCCCTGCTGGGTTTCTGTCACGTGACCGGTCCCCCCATGTCATTTTGGCACCTTGCTTTATCAGGACATGGAATCGACAGTGCTGAACCTGTACAACCAGTTCCAGAATCTGCGTGCACACTCCGATATTCTCAGTGAGGGCATCGAACCACGTAAGTGACCAGTGGCGCATGCTTTTGGTGAAAGGTTGAATCCGTGCCCATGCCATTGCATATCAGGGATGGCAAGTTTTCAGCAGACCAGAAACTCACTGGCTGGCAGGTTGTTGCTGGTTGAAATCCCAGGTGTAATGACATTGAAAGATTAACTAACAACTGGAGGTTTGCAGGAGTGAGAATTCCAGGTGCCCTTGCACAAGACACTTGATGACCCCAAAATTGAAAGGGGGTGGTGGTAGGTTTGAAAAAAGTTAAATAATCTAAAATGGATAACAAAAGTACTTATTGCTCATTCACTTAGGCAAGGCGGGACCCTTGCCCATCTCTGTTGCCACCTGCCTGAAAGAATGTTGGCATCAATGCCCCCCCCCCTTCACCCCTCACCTGAAAAACCATAGGGGAGATTGACTTCAAAAGAGTAAACTAGTCTGAATGAGATGAAAGCAGATCTTCAACCAATAACCATCCCCTTGGCCTTACTTCTTTGTTCAGAGTTCATACAGATGGCTCTGAACTTTGAGGACTGCAGGCGGAAGTGGCTGCAGCGGGAGGAGGAACTGGGAGCCTGCAAGGAGGTGCTGACCAAAACAGAGATGGAGAGGGGGGCTCTGGAGGTCAAGCTGAAGCACGCCCGCAACCAGGTGGATGTGGAGATCAGACGGCGCCAGCGGGCAGAGGCAGACTACGAGAAACTGGTAGGTAAACAGTTATAGGACAGCTACAGTACAGGTCCCAGGTGATTCTACATCATAATTCTACATGTTGTGGTGGCTTCTATTGCGTAATGCATCTCATTTGTGATGATTATTGTCAAAAAGAGGACAAAGTTTGAAGACGCTTATGGTTAGATTAATTACTTACTAGTTATGAGTTGATAAGAAATTCACAAAATCACACTGTTTGGTAGGCTATAACATTGTGGGGTAATTTCCTGATCTCTGTGTGTGTGTGTGTAGGAGCGTCAAATCCAGCTAATCCGGGATATGCTGGTGGCGGAGAGCTCCAGCAGCAGCCTCCACCTGAGTGAGGAGCAGCGCTCTGCCCTGGCCTTCCTCAACGCCCACTCCCAGGCCGCGCTGGCTGCCAAGAACAACCTCAACACCAGCCACAGGTGCTGTACAGTCCTTTATTAGGCCCTCATCATCCATGTCTGGCCTGCGTTCATTACAATGAACAAAAATAAATGTATCTTTTAGGACAGAATTAGATATGCCTACCCTGTTTCGTCCCGTTTGATTCAGTTTCGTGTTTCGTGAATATGACCCAGATTGTTCAGATTCAGAACAGTGATTGCAACCAAGCCTCCTGTCATGTCTTTCAGGTTAACCACCATAGATGAATCTGCTTCCCTGTTGTCAGACATTAGCTATGACAAAACTGATGATTCTCTGGTAAGTATTGCATTTTACATTTTCACCTTGTCCACAAGGGGACATTTGTCTTGGACATTGTAGTGGCACCATCACAAAAATACATGAATACAATATGCCAAAATAGAAAAAGTGTCAAATAGATATAGCCACACTAATACTACCTATATAAACATGAACTATGGGGTTGTCATCACTCTATATTTCCTGTAGGATTGTGACTCTTCTGTGATGAGGACAGTGCGACTGAGAAAACTCCAGAAAAGGGTGAGTGGAGAGTTACTGTTTAGTTTATAGCCTGACAGATCCTCAATGGAAGTGTACGTACATTTTTTTGTTGTTGTCATTTTATATCTAAAGGATCTGTAGTGAAGGATAGGGTGGGAATGTAGTTCTACAATGCTCAGTCATTTGGAAGTATTGTTAACTCAGTCATTCCTATTTGTTTCCACAGCGTTCCTCCAGAATCCTTGCTGAGCCTCCCCAGCAGGTGCTGAAGAAACCCCGCTCCACTGGCCGCACTTCAGAGAGGGTACTACTCAATGCATTGCCTGACCACTCACCCTGAATTTAATTCCTCTGCTCTATTGATCGCTACATACATGAAACTGCCATCCTAGAAGTTGTTTGTGTGACTTCAAAATGAGGGGCATTGTACAAAACAAATTAATCAGCAATTGGATCTTCTCTAACCAATCAGAGTATCGAAGTTGATAACGTCATCATGTAGGCTGGCTCCGACCCAACGAATTGGTTTCTAGGACCAATCAGAACAGTCAGAATGTGTTTGCATTCTAGAAATCGTACGGGAGAGAGGGAAATCCCAACTAATTGTAGAGAAGAAAGGTCTGTTTGGCTGGAGCGGTGTGGATGGGTAGCCAGGCTTCTGAAACTAACTCCAATGTAGCTAATACTACAGAAAAACTTGGAGTGTAAAAATTTCTAACCGTAGTTTCACTTGATTTGAATAGCACTCGGCACACTGGTATTCAATGTGTTGAATTTCTGTCAAAATACCAATTTCCGGTCTGCGTCATGAAAAGTTGCGTGCTCAGTTTGGCACAAGAAAGAGGCTTGTTTACATTTAAGTAAATTTGACAACATCCAACTTCAGATGTAGCACATGCAAGTTAACAAAAGTAATCAGATGGTTATGGTCTACAACATTGCAGATGTCAGAGGATTGATTACCTAGTAAGCCAAGCTAGGCAAGGTAGAGCTAGATAAAGCCAGAAGAATAATATACTTGTTGAACATACAGTAGCTACAGCCATCTTGTGTTTTCATGGTCATCACTCACTCACTGCTAAGTTTGTCAAGGTACCAACATCAGTGTAAAGCTATTCTGCTACAGGGCTTTTTGATGTTAGCATGCGCACGCATCACTCAAATGTTTGCGTGTAAATAAAACATGCTCTGTAGACCATCAGTTGCTTCAAATTGTAAAAAAAATAAATGCTTCTGTGTTTTGCTTTCTCCTTTTAAACTATTATTTCATGTGACTCTTAAGTTATATATGCATTATTACAGGTGAACGAGTCCATAGTGACCAAGACCACCATCACAGTGCCCGTCAACGGAGGTCCGGTAGAGGCTGTGTCCACCATCGAGACAGTGCCTGGCTTCTGGACCGGCAGCAGGAGGAGGACCGGTGAGACGGCACTAGCAAGCCTACAGTACCTTATTCTTGACAGCCATGTTCAGATGCGCACAATGTATCAACATTTTCAATTTGAAGAAAATGAAATAAAAAAACAGTTTGAGGGGTAAAAACTCGACGTTCTCTTGTTTTCCCAGCTGCTCAGGGCTGGGACTCTACTTCTATTGACCAATCAGAGACAGCTAGCGAGGCTCTCAACACCCCATGCAGTGAGGCTCCGCCCCCAACCAAAACATCCAGAGTCAAAATGGGGGCCCGAAAGCACGAGTTCCTTGCCAAAACAGTACACGTTCTGTTATTACTTTTATCTGTAATACACTTTTGTCTGTAATACACTTTTTTTGTTCGGTGGGAATCTAATTAGCATTTTTTAAAATCCCCATCAAAATCCATCAGTTTAAGCTAGAGATATCTATTTTTATTCATTGGATGCGTCTCAATCCACCACATCCGCCTATGTCGCACTTCCGCATCAGGTGACAGAGCTAGAGCAGTGTTTGTCAGACCATGAGACATCCTGAAAATCGGTCTTCTCATGAAAATGTCTGTGGCGTCTGAAAGGTTCGGCCTACAAACTACTATGACCCCTCTATGGAAAGATGAGACTCTCACGGACACATACATGTTGGTTTGCTCTAGGACGCAATACCCCATAATGACGAAGCGAAAACAGGTTTTTAGAAATGTTTGCAAATGTATTAAAAATAAAAAACAGAAATACCTTATTTTCGTAAGTATTCAGACCCTTTACTATGAGACTCGAAATTGAGCTCAGGTACATCCTGTTTACATTGATCATCCTTGATGTTTCTACAACTTCATTGGAGTCCCCTGTGATAAATTCAATTGATTGGACATGATTTGGAAAGGCACACACCTGTCTATATAAGGTCCCACAGTTGACAGTGCATGTCAGAGCAAAAACCAAGCCATGAGGTCGAAATAATTGTCTGTAGAGCTCTGACAGGATTGTGTCGAGGCACAGATCTGGGGAAAGACACCAAAACATTTCTGCAGCATTGAAGTTCCCCAAGAACACAGTGGCCTCCATCATTCTTAAATGGAAAAAGTCTGGAACCACCAAGACTCTTCCTAGAGCTGGCCGCCCTGGCAAAACTGAGCATTTGGGGGAGAAGGGCCTTGGTCAGGGAGGTGACCAAGAACCTCATGGTCACTCTGAAGTAGCTCCAGAGTTCCTCTGTGGAGATGGGAGAACCTTCCAGAAGGACAACTATCTCTGCAGCACTCCACCAATCAGGCCTTTATGGTAGAGTGGCCAGACGGAAGCCACTCCTCCGTAAAAGGCACATGACAGCCCGCTTGGAGTTTGCCAAAGGCACCTAAAGACTCACAGACCATGAGAAACAAGATTCTCTTTTCTGATGAAACCAAGATTGAACTCTTTGGCCTGAATGCCAAGTGTCACGTCTGGAAGAAACCTGGCACCATCCCTACAGTGAAGCATGGTGATGGCAGCATCATGCTGTCGGGATGTTTTTCAGCGGCAGGGACTGGGAGACTAGTTAGGATCTAGGGAAAGATGAACGGAGCAAAGTACAGAGAGATCCTTGATGAAAACTTGCTCCGGAGCGCTCAGGACCTCAGACTGTGGCAAAGGTTTACCTTCCAACAGGACAACGACCCAAAGCACACAGCCAAGACAATGCAGGAGTGGCTCTGAATGTCCTTGAGTGGCCTAGCCAGAGCCCGGACTTGAACCTGATCGAACATCTCTGGAGAGACCTGAAAATAGCTGTGCGGCGACGCTCTCCATCCAATCTGACAGAGCTTGAGAGGATCTGCAGAGAAGAATGGGAGAAACTCCCCAAATATAGGTGTGCCAAGCTTGTAGCGTCATACCCAAGAAGATTTAAGGCTGTAATCGCTGCCAAAGGTGCTCCAACAAAGTACTGAGTAAAGGGTCTAAATACTAATGTAAATGTGATATTTCATCTTTTTATTTTTAATAACTTTGCTAAAATGTATAAACCTGTTTTTTCTTTGTCATTATGGGGTTTTGTGTGTAGATTGATGAGGGGAAAAAACAATAATCTACAGTTGAAGTCGGAAGTTTACATACACCTTAGCCAAATACATTTAAACTCAGTTTTTCACAATTCCTGACATTTAATCCTAGTAAAAATTCCCAGTCTTAGGTCAGTTAGGATCACCACTTTATTTTAAGAATGTGAAATGTCAGAATAATAGTAGAGTGATTTATTTCAGCTTTTATTTCTTTCATCACATTCCCAGTGGGTCAGAAGTTTACATACACTCAATTCGTATTTGGTAGCATTGCCTTTAAATTGTGTAACTTGGGTCAAACGTTTCGGGTAGCCTTCCAAAAGCTTCCCACAATAAGTTGGGTGAATTTTGGCCCATTCCTCCTGACAGAGCTGGTGTAACTGAGTCAGGTTTGTAGGCCTCCTTGCTCGCACACGCTTTTTCAGTTCTGCCCACAAATGTTCTATAGGCTTGAGGTCAGGGCTTTGTGATGGCCACTCCAATACCTTGACTTTGTTGTCCTTAAGCCATTTTGACACAACTTTGGAAGTATGCTTGAGGTCATTGTCCATTTGGAAGACTCATTTGCGACCAAGCTTTAACTTCCTGACTGATGTCTTGAGATGTTGCTTCAACATATCCACATAATTTTCCTTCCTCATGATGCCATCTACTAGTGCACTAGTCCCTCCTGCAGCAAAACACCCCCACAACATGATGCTGCCACCCCCGTGCTTCACGGTTGGGATGGTGTTCTTCGGCTTGCAAGCCAAGCCCTTTTTCCTCCAAACATAACGATGGTCATTATGGCCAAACAGTTCTATTTTTGTTTCATCAGACCAGAGGACATTTCTCCAATAGGTACGATCTTTGTCCCCATGTGCAGTTACAAACTGTAGTCAGGCTTTTTTATGGTAGTTTTGGAGCAGTGGCTTCTTCCTTGCTGAGCGGCCTTTCAGGTTATGTCAATTTGTAAGTCGCTATGTATAAGAGCGTCTGCTAAATGACGTAAATGTAAATGTAATGTCGATATACAGTGAGTGGAAAAAAGTATTTGATCCCCTGCTGATTTTGTACGTTTGCCCACTGACAAAGACATGATCAGTCTATAATTGTAATGGTAGAATTATTTGAACAGTGAGAGACATAATAACAACAAAAAAATCCAGAAAAACGCATGTCAAAAATGTTATCAATTGATTTGCATTTTAATGAGGGAAATAAGTATTTGACCTCTGCAAAACATGACTTAGTACTTGGTGGCAAAACCCTTGTTGGCAATCACAGAGGTCAGACGTTTCTTGTAGTTGGCCACCAGGTTTGCACACATCTCAGGAGGGATTTTGTTCCACTCCTCTTTGCAGATCTTCTCCAAGTCATTAAGGTTTCGAGGCTGACGTTTGGCAACTCGAACCTTCAGCTCCCTCCACATATTTTCTATGGGATTAAGGTCTGGAGACTGGCTAGGCCACTCCAGGACCTTAATGTGCTTCTTCTTGAGCCACTCCTTTGTTGCCTTGGCCGTGTGTTTTGGGTCATTGTCATGCTGGAATACCCATCCATGACCCATTTTCAATGCCCTGGCTGAGGGAAGGAGGTTCTCACCCAAGATTTGACGGTACATGGCCCTGTCCATCGTCCCTTTGATGCGGTGAAGTTGTCCTGTCCCCTTAGCAGAAAAACATCCCCAAAGCATAATGTTTCCACCTCCATGTTTGACGGTGGTGATGGTGTTCTCTGGGTCATAGGCAGCATTCCTCCTCCTCCAAACACGGCAAGTTGAGTTGATGGCAAAGAAATCGATTTTGGTCTCATCTGACCACAACACTTTCACCCAGTTCTCCTCTGAATCATTCAGATGTTCATTGGCAAACTTCAGACGGGCCTGTATATGTGCTTTCTTGAGCAGGGGGACCTTGAGGGCGCTGCAGGATTTCAGTCCTTCACGGTGTAGTGTGTTACCAATTGTTTTCTTGGTGACTATGGTCCCAGCTGCCTTGAGATCATTGACAAGATCCTCCCGTGTAGTTCTGGGCTGATTCCTCACCGTTCTCATGATCATTGCAACTCCACGAGGTGAGATCTTGCATGGAGCCCCACGCCGAGGGAGATTGACAGTTATTTTGTGTTTCTTCCATTTGTGAATAATCGCACCAAATGTTGTCACCTTCTCACCAAGCTGCTTGGCGATGGTCTTGTAGCCCATTCCAGCCTTGTGTAGGTCTACAATCTTGTCCCTGACATCCTTGGAGAGCTCTTTGGTCTTGGCCATGGTGGAGAGTTTGGAATCTGATTGATTGATTGCTTCTGTGGACAGGTGTCTTTTATACAGGTAACAAACTGAGATTAGGAGCACTCCCTTTAAGAGTTTGCTCCTAATCTCAGCTCGTTACCTGTATAAAAGACACCTGGGAGCCAGAAATCTTTCTGATTGAGAGGGGGTCAAATACTTATTTCCCTCATTAAAATGCAAATCAATGTATAACATTTTTGACATGCGTTTTTCGGGATTTTTTTGTTGTTATTCTGTCTCTGACTGTTCAAATAAACCTACCATTAAAATTATAGACTGATCATTTCTTTGTCAGTGGGCAAACGTACAAAATCAGCAGGGGATCAAATACTTTTTTCCCTCACTGTAGGACTTGTTTTACTGTGGCTATATATACTTTTGTACCTGTTTCCTCCAGCATCTTCACAAGGTCCTTTGCTGTTGTTCTGGGATTGATTTGCACTTTTCACACCAAAGTACGTTCATCTCTAGGAGACAGAACGCGTCTCCTTCCTGAGCGGTATGACGGCTGCGTGGTCCCATGGTGTTTATACTTGCGTACTATTGTTTGTACAGATGAACGTGGTACCTTCAGGCGTTTGGAAATTGCTCCCAAGGATGAACCAGACTTGTGGAGGTCTACAATTTCTTTTCTGAGGTCTTGGCTGATTTATTTTGATTTTCCCATGATGTCTAGCAAAGAGGCACTGAGTTTGAAGTTAGGCCTTGAAATACATCCACAGGTCTACCTCCAATTGACTCAAATTATGTCAATTAGCCTATCAGAAGCTTCTAAAGCAATGACATTATTTTCTGGAATTTTCCAAGCTGTTTAAAGGCACAGTCAACTTAGTGTATGTAAACCTCTGACCCACTGGAATTGTAATACAGGGAAATAATTGTTGGAAAAGTTACTTGTGTCATGCACAAAGTAGATGTCCTAACCGACTTGCCAAAACTAGTTTGTTAACAAGAAATGTGTGGAGTGGTTGATAAACAAGTTTTAATGTCTCCAACCTACAGTTGACGTCGGAAGTTTGTTTGGAGGAAAAATGGGGGTTGCTTGCAAGTGGAAGAACACCATCCCAGCCGTGAAGCACGGGGGCGGCAGCATCATGCTGTGGGGGTGCTTTGCTGCAGGAGGGACTGGTGCACTTCACAAAATAGATGGCATCATGAGGAAGGAAAATTATGTGGATATATTGAAGCAACATCTCAAGACATCAGTCAGGATGTTAAAGCTTGGTCGCAAATGGGTCTTCCAAATGGACAATGACCCCAAGCATACTTTCAAAGTTGTGTCAAAATGGCTTAAGGACAACAAAGTCAAGGTATTGGAGTGGCCATCACAAAGCCCTGACCTCAATCCTATAGAACATTTGTGGGCAGAACTGGAAAAGTGTGTGTGTGCGAGCAAGGAGGCCTACAAACCTGACTCAGTTACACCAGCTCTGTCAGGAGGAACGGGCCAAAAGTCACCCAACTTATTGTGGGAAGCTTGTGGAAGGCTACCCGAAACGTTTGACCCAAGTTAAACAATTTAAAGGCAATGCTACCAAATACTAATTGAGTGTATGTAAACTTCTGACCCACTGGGAATGTGATGAAAGAAATAAAAGCTGAAAGAAATCATTCTCTCTACTATTATTCTGACATTTCACATTCTTAAAATAAAGTGGTGATCCTAATTGACCTAAGACAGGGAAGTTTTACTAGGATTTAATGTCAGGAATTGTGAAAAACTGAGTTTAAATGTATTTGGCTAAGGTGTATGTAAACTTCCGACTTCAACTGTATTTTAGAATTAGGCTGTAACGTTACAAAATGTGGAAAAAGTCAATTGGTCTGAATACTTTCCGAATGCACTGTCCAGTTCCCTCTTCTACCCTCTGTCTGTCCCGTCTCACTAACCTCTGTCTGTCCCGTCCCTTCTCCTTACACAGGTGATCAGGTCAGAGTTCTGCGTGCCGTGTGGAAGGAAGACCAAGTTCGGGAAGCTCTACCTGAGGTGCCAGGACTGCAGGCTGGTGGCTCACCCAGAGTGCCGCGACCGCTGCCCCCTGCCATGTAACCCTATCTCTACAGACACCACCCCCATCAGGACCAGAGAGGTATTACACCTGCAGAGTTAGTTATACATTCTTAGATTGACAACACTTCATATTTGCAATGCTTATACTGCAGTAATTAAGACTAATGATTTTGTATTTATGATTCAGGGTCCTGGGTATTGTTAGACGTATTCTGACTGATTTGTATCGGTACCATCTGTGTTTTGAATGCCTTCTCCAAACGTCCCATGTCATGAGTGTGTATCTTGTGTTGCAGCCAAGCACCCTTGCAGACTACGCTCCCTCCTCCTCTCCCATGATCCCTGCCCTGGTGGTCCACTGTGTCAAGGAGATCGAGCACAGGGGTTTACATGAGGTGAGCAGCCTCAAAAGTTGCCATTTTAGCACTTACAAAATTCAATTTTAAGCAAATAATCTTTACGCATATCAGCACTCTTTACAAATGTTTTGTTTTTACCTTGATCATTCCTGTTGAACTGATGTCATCACTCTTCATCCAGACTGCCAGTTAATATTCCATCCCATTCTTTATTTTTCTCTCACTCCCTGTCAGACGGGTCTGTACCGCGTGTCAGGCGAGGGGCGCACAGTGAAGGAGCTGAAGGAGAGATTCCTGCGGGGGAGGACGGTGCCTGCCTTGGCCAAGGTGGAGGACATCCACTGTGTCACAGGCCTCCTCAAGGACTTCCTGAGAAACCTCCCGGAGCCCCTCCTCACCTTCCGCCTCAACCGCGACTTCATGGAGGCTGCAGGTCTGTCTTCAGCTGTTGGCTGTCTTTTAAGGGGTTTAATAAATGTAAAACTTAGAAGTTATTTTGGTTATGTTAGTCAAGTGCAGTCATTTAACTCTGATATGCAAATCGAGAGCTTGGGACTATAAGGGTCTATCTACATTCTTGGCAGAATTGAGTTATTGAGACTTGTTCTGTTCAATGTTCTCTACCTATATAGTACTCTAAATACAGCCAATTCAATAAAACATGCTGACACCATTCAAACCAATGAGGGTTTGAAATATTAAAGCCAATTATCTCTGATTCATCTTTTTGCAGATAGAAAGAACCTTCTCTTACCAAGCACTCAAAATGAAAATGTAATATTGGACAGATTGGTTTCTTCACCTTGTAAGTTGTCTATGGAGCTCTTCTTATATCACTTCTCTTGCCTTGCACACAGAAATCCAGGAAGATGGCAGTAGCCTGAAGATGATCTACCAGACCATCAGTGAGCTGCCCCAACCCAACAGAGACACTCTGGCCTATCTGGCCATCCACCTGCAGAGGTATAGCAGAGCTTCAAACTACCTCATGGTTACTCCATCAAGCCACCATTTAACATTTACATTTACATTTAAGTCATTTAGCATTTAAGGCACAATCTGTAACTTGCAAAACCAGTCAAAAGTGGTGCCCCTGCCTGCACGTGTTTGTAAACTGTAGTGGTGGATGTTGATATTCTGTGGTAACCGCCCCCCATAATCAAAGACTAGTTTAAAATCAAGTCCTGATTTCACAAGGCACTGCAGGAGCTTGAATCTGACTTGAATTTCTGAAATGGTTGACGATGTTCTTTCAGGGTGGCCCAGTGTGTACTAGACACCAAGATGGATATCACCAATCTGGCCAGAGTTTTTGGACCCACCCTGGTGGGCCATGCCGTCCCAGACCCAGACCCCATGACCATCCTGCACGACACCAACAGACAACCACGGGTATGTAGGGATCTATACAAATGTATTTAGACATGCATATGTAAAAGATGTACACAGACCCTAAGCTGAATTTAAGTTATTTCTATATTATGTGGACATTTTATTTATCAGCTGTCTAGTTTAACAGAATATTCTTATTACATTATATTACTGTACCCAATAACAATGGTTCTCTCCACACAGCTGAAAGTACTGTTATCTCTACACAAGGCTATTCTTAAGTGGTGATAACAGTTCTGAGAGATTCGTATTGATGTAAACAGGTGATGGAGCGCTTGTTGGACCTTCCTTACGAGTACTGGAGACCGTTCACAGTGGAGCAGCACACCCATCCAGACAATGCTAACTGCTACAACACTCCAGACCACAAAGGTAAGCAGCATTGAGAACCAGTCTCTCCTGTCCTATAGACATACAGTAGTGTCAAAATTATTTTCGCAATATTCGCCAGTTTGAAATAATAATTTTCTCCTAAATGTGTTAATTCTCTCACCACACAGTGAGCATGCTGGGGCCAGTGACCACTCCAGAACACCAGATGACTAAAACGCCCTCCTCCAGCTCCCTGTCCCAGCGCATGAAACAGACATTCTCTAGCACCACCATGTAAGCAGCACACTCTAACCATAGGGCTCTTCCCCCTCAGATCTTAATGCACATCTCAAATGGGTCTAATGTGTTTAGCGCTGGCCCCGACAAAAAAAATAATAATTGTCGACTGAGAGTTGTCTGTTCTTTCGACCAATCGATTGGTCGACATATTTAAACTTGTATTTTTCCATATATGAACAAATCCAATGCGTTTTAATCAAAACAACTATATGCGCTGAGCTTGTCTGATGCTTTAAGCGCACTGTTTGATTAAATAGTTATTTATTTATTTTATTTTTATTTCACCTTTATTTAACCAGGTAAACCAGTTGAGAACAAGTTCTCATTTACAACTGCGACCTGGCCAAGATAAAGCAAAGCAGTGCGATTAAAAACAACAACACAGAGTTACATATGGGGTAAAACAAAACAAAGTCAAAAATACAACAGAAATACATATATATACAGTGTGTGCAAATGTAGCAAGTTATGGAGGTAAGGCAATAAATAGGCTATAGTGCAAAATAATTACAATTAGTATTAACACTGGAATGATAGATGTGCAAGAGATGATGTGCAAATAGAGATACTGGGGTACAAATGAGCAAAATAAATAACAATATAGGGATGAGGTAGTTGGGCGGGCTAATTTCAGATGGGCTGTGTACAGGTGCAGTGATCGGTAAGGTGCTCTGACAACTGATGCTTAAAGTTAGTGAGGGAGATAAGTGTCTCCAGCTTCAGATATTTTTGCAATTTGTTCCAGTCATTGGCAGCAGAGAACTGGAAGGAATTGCGGCCAAAGGATGTGTTTGCTTTGGGGATGACCAGTGAGATATACCTGCTGGAGCGCAGACTACAGGTGGGTGTTGCTATGGTGACCAATGAGCTAAGATAAGGCGGGGATTTGCCTAGCAGTGATTTATAGATGGCCTGGAGCCAGTGGGTTTGGCGACGAATATGTAGTGAGGACCAGCCAACAAGAGCGTACAGGTCACAGTGGTGGGTATTATATGGGGCTTTGGAGACAAAACGGATGGCACTGTGATAGACTACATCCAATTTGCTGAGTAGAGTGTTGGAGGCTATTTTGTAAATGACATCGCCGAAGTCAAGGATCGGTAGGATAGTCAGTTTTACGAGGGCATGTTTGGCAGCATGAGTGAAGGAGGCTTTGTTGCGAAATAGGAAACCGATTCTAGATTTAACTTTGGATTGGAGATTCTTAATGTGAGTCTGGAAGGAGAGTTTACAGTCTAACCAGACACCTAGATATTTGTAGTTGTCCACATACTCTAGGTCAGACCCGTCGAGAGTAGTGATTCTAGTCGGCTGGGCGGGTGCAAGCAGCGTTCGGTTGAAGAGCATGCATTTAGTTTTACTAGTGTTTAAGAGCAGTTGGAGGCTACTGAAGGAGTGTTGTATGGCATTGAAGCTCGTTTTGGAGGTTTGTTAACACAGTGTCCAATGAAGGGCCAGATGTATACAAAATGGTGTCGTCTGCGTAGAGGTGGATCTGAGAGTCACCAGCAGCAAGAGCGACGTCATTGATATACACAGAGAAAAGAGTCGGCCCAAGAATTGAACCCTGTGGCACCCCCATAGAGACTGCCATAGGTCCAGACAACAGGCCCTCAGATTTGACACATTGAACTCTATCTGAGAAGTAGTTGGTGAACCAGGCGAGGCAGTCATTTGAGAAACCAAGGCTATTTAGTCTGCCAATAAGAATGCGGTGGTTGACAGAGTCGAAAGCCTTGGCCAGGTCAATGAAAACGGCTGCACAGTACTGTCTATTATCGATCGCGGTTATAATATAGTTTAGGACCTTGAGCGTGGCTGAAGTGCACCCATGACCAGTTCGGAAACCGGATTGCATAGCGGAGAAGGTACGGTGGGATTCGAAATGGTCGGTGATCTGTTTGTTGACTTGGCTTTCAAAAACTTTTGAAAGGCAGGGCAGGATGGATATGGGTCTGTAACAGTTTGGATCTAGAGTGTCACCCCCTTTGAAGAGGGGGATGACCGCGGCAGCTTTCCAATCTCTGGGGATCTCAGACGTTACGAAAGAGAGGTTGAACAGGCTAGTAATAGGGGTTGCGACAATTTCGGCGGCTAGTTTTAGAAAGAAAGGGTCCAGATTGTCTAGCCCAGATGATTTGTAGGGGTCCAGATTTTGCAGCTCTTTCAGAACATCAGCTGTCTGGATTTGTGTGAAGGAGAAGCGGGGGGGGCATGGGCAAGTTGCAGCGGAGGGTGCAGAGCTGGTGGCCAGGGTAGTGGTAGCCAGGTGGAAAGCATGGCCAGCCGTAGCAAAATGCTTGTTGAAATTCTCGATTATTGTAGATTTATCGGTGGTGATAGTGTTTCCTAGCCTCAGTGCAGTGGGCAGCTGGGAGGAAGTGCTCTTATTTTCCATGGACTTTACAGTGTCCCAAAACTTTTTGGAGTTAGTGCTACAGGATGCAAATTTCTGTTTGAAAAAGTTAGCCTTTGCTTTCCTAACTGCTTGTGTATATTGGTTCCTAACTTCCCTGAAAAGTTGCATATCGCGGGGGCTATTTGATGCTAATGCAGTACGCCACAGGATGTTTTTGTGCTGGTCAAGGGCAGTCAAGTCTGAGGAGAACCAGGGGCTATATCTGTTCTTAGTTCTGTATTTTTTGAATGGGGCATGTTTATTTAAGATTGAGAGGAAATTACTTTTAAAGAACAACCAGGCATCCTCTACTGACGGAATGAGATCTATATCCATCCAGGATACCTGGGCCAGGTCAATTAGGAAGGCCTGCTCGCTGAAGTGTTTTTGGGAGCGTTTGACAGTGATGAGGGGTGGTCGTTTGACCGCGGACCCGTTACGGACGCAGGCAATAAGGCAGTGATCGTTGAGATCCTGGTTGAAGACAGCGGAGGTGTATTTAGAGGGTAAGTTAGTCAGGATGATATCTATGAGGGTACCCATGTTTACGGATTTAGGGTTGTACCTGGTAGGTTCGTTGATAATTTGTGTGAGATTGAGGGCATCTAGTTTAGATTGTAGGATGGCCGGGGTGTTAAGCATATCCCAGTTAAGACACACAAATGACTAGAGGGAGTCCGACCGCAATTTGGTTTGATTGTGCTGGACCGGGCTCAGACTTGCAGCGCTGTGTTTTAAAAAAATGACAGCGAGTGACTGTGTGACTAGCACCCGTTGTCTCTCTCTCCTCCCTGCTGCAGCGACCACCACAGGACATCAACAGTGTTGATTGGTGATATCCATTTTGGTGTCTAGTACACACTGGGCCACCCTGAAAGAACATCGTCAACCATTTCAGAGATTCAAGTCAGATTCAAATTTTATTTTATTTATTGCGCTGTCCGTGTTGCTGATGCTTCAACATAATTACAGCCATATCTGACTGAAAAGTTCTGTTACCGAAATCCCTCATTTGTTTAGGAAAAACATTCCCTATTCCCTCAACCCTTGCTCTCCTTTACGTGACAAATGTATGTATCGCATGCACGTGACCAATAGGGCCTGACCTATAGCATATCATAATCACATCAATAAATTGCTTATAACAAACTCCGAACACCGTAACACGTGACAGCAAAATGGATGCAGAGGACGTGACAAATAAACTCGAAACGGGGCAATGTTTACTGGTTGATCAAGAGGTAAAGGGGAAGTCAGATGTGTGGAATAAATGTGACTAGTTGTGGAAAATACTGGAGATCAAGAAAAATAAGGTAAGGAGCAAGCGCTGCGTGCATATTATGTTTGCCAAACGGGTGCTGTATAGATTACAATATCATTTTTCTGACCGTTTGGAACAATGTAAACTACATTAAATATATTATAAGCATACCAGAGAGTCTGACGTTTTTTGTAAAGCCTTTATTACAGCAAAGACAAACAGTCGCATTAATTCCGAAATGGAACGGTTTATTTATTGTTTACGCTAATTATTCAAGTGCCGCTTTGTCATTAAATTTTTTTTAAAGTGTAAAGCTTTTATTACAGCATAATAAAGATTAAAAACAGCTGGATTTGGGAAATAGTTTATCTGATGTGGTTGCTGAGGCTTGGTGCTAAGGGAATCAGTAGGCTATTAAACAAACACTCAAACAGAAGCAGAATCTGTCTTATTTCTGTAGATGTATTGATGATCTATAAAGCCAGGCCCATTTAACAGTTAGACTATTGATTATAGACCAAATTAAGTTGGTTTCCTCTCTCCTCACTTTTCTTAGACAATTAAGACACGGGCTGTTTTCTCCTCTCCTAACTCCGCTGCTGCCGCCGTCACATTGTTCTCAACACAGATATGCTGGTTAACTTTGCTGTTATAGACGTAGCAACATGGTCTAGGAAAAGGCACTGATGGCAAAATAGAAAGTGCATTTATTGTTATTAGTGTTGCACCATTTGTTCTTATGTAAGATAACCATATACAGTGGGGGAAAAAAAGTATTTAGTCAGCCACCAATTGTGCAAGTTCTCCCACTTAAAAAGATGAGAGAGGCCTGTAATTTTCATCATAGGTACACGTCAACTATGACAGACAAAATGAGAAGAAAAAAAATCCAGAAAATCACATTGTAGGATTTTTAATGAATTTATTTGCAAATTATGGTGGAAAATAAGTATTTGGTCAATAACAAAAGTTTCTCAATACTTTGTTATATACCCTTTGTTGGCAATGACACAGGTCAAACGTTTTCTGTAAGTCTTCACAAGGTTTTCACACACTGTTGCTGGTATTTTGGCCCATTCCTCCATGCAGATCTCCTCTAGAACAGTGATGTTTTGGGGCTGTCGCTGGGCAACACTGACTTTCAACTCCCTCCAAAGATTTTCTATGGGGTTGAGATCTGGAGACTGGCTAGGCCACTCCAGGACCTTGAAATGCTTCTTACGAAGCCACTCCTTTGTTGCCCGGGCGGTGTGTTTGGGATCATTGTCATGCTGAAAGACCCAGCCACGTTTCATCTTCAATGCCATTGCTGATGGAAGGAGGTTTTCACTCAAAATCTCACGATACATGGCCCCATTCATTCTTTCCTTTACACGGATCAGTCGTCCTGGTCCCTTTGCAGAAAAACAGCCCCAAAGCATGATGTGTCCACCCCCATGCTTCACAGTAGGTATGGTGTTCTTTGGATGCAACTCAGCATTCTTTGTCCTCCAAACACGACGAGTTGAGTTTTTACCAAAAAGTTCTATTTTGGTTTCATCTGACCATATGACATTCTCCCAATCCTCTTCTGGATCATCTAAATGCACTCTAGCAAACTTCAGACGGGCCTGGACATGTACTGGCTTAAGCAGGGGGACACGTCTGGCACTGCAGGATTTGAGTCCCTGGCGGCGTAGTGTGTTACTGATGGTAGGCTTTGTTACTTTGGTCCCAGCTCTCTGCAGGTCATTCACTAGGACCCCCCGTGTGGTTCTGGGATTTTTGCTCACCGTTCTTGTGATCATTTTGACCCCATGGGGTGAGACCTTGCGTGGAGCCCCAGATCGAGGGAGATTATCAGTGTTCTTGTATGTCTTCCATTTCCTAATAATTGCTCCCACAGTTGATTTCTTCAAACCAAGCTGCTTACCTATTGCATATTCAGTCTTCCCAGCCTGGTGCAGGTCTACAATGTTGTTTCTGGTGTCCTTTGACAGCTCTTTGGTCTTGGTCATAGTGGAGTTTGGAGTGTGACTGTTTGAGGTTGTGGACAGGTGTCTTTTATACTGATAACAAGTTTAAACAGGTGCATTAATACAGGTAACGAGTGGAGGACAGAGAAGCCTCTTAAAGAAGAAGTTACAGGTCTGTGAGAGCCAGAAATCTTGCTTGTTTGTAGGTGACCAAATACTTATTTTCCACCATAATTTGCAAATAAATTCATTAAAAATCCTACAATGTGATTTTCTGGAATTTGTTTTCTTAATTTGTCTGTCATAGTTGACGTGTACCTATGATGAAAATTACAGGCCTCTCTCATCTTTTTAAGTGGGAGAACTTGCACAATTGGTGGCTGACTAAATACTTTTTTTCCCCACTGTACAATTTCAGTAGCACATGTCTTAGTGATGGACTGTGCCATCCCCACGGCCTCCACAATGGATTAGTCCTCTCAGACAGGCGCGAATCAGGCAGGTGCCTTGTACACCATTACTTTTTTTTCCTACTGCTCGACTAAGGAAATCTCGGTCGACCAACAGCCTATCGACCAAACAATCGACCAGTCAAATAAATGGAGTCAGCCCTAAATGTGTTTCTTGGGTGATCAATCTGTCTGAATGTCTTTTTAATATTCTCGTTAGCTTGGATTATATCTGTGCTTAATTAGCTTAATCTATGGTTAAGTTTAATGTTTTTTATTCTTGTATATATTTACAGATTTGGAAGCAAGAGCAAGGCATCCACTAGCTCAAGTCGCCAAGGAGGCTTCTTTGCCTCCCCTCAGCTGAAGTAGTGGTCAAACCACGGTATTATGGGAAAAAATAACATTATTTGAAACTCTTAAAAAAAAAAAAATTACCAATAATGCAGTTATGTGGTCAAGGAACAACTGTTAATTTTTACGTAGCCACTGTACATGGGAAACCTCTGCAATGTCACAATGTTTTATACCATTTTATATCAATCTTATTTTAATATATTTTCTGTGCAATATTTTGCTTTAAACACCGTCATTCTTGTAAACATATCTACTACTGTAATATGGCAAACTACTGCAGTATATTTTATACAATTTTATATCACAAACTTATTTTAAACTATTTTCTAACGAACTATGCAATATTTGATTTAGCTTTAAACACTAATGCCTTGAAATAGCTTTATTTAACGTTAAACTAAAACCACTATTACACAAAAAAACACTTAATCCTTTTTATGTTGATATTTTAGGCTATGAGATTTGAATCTCTATATTTAATGGGATATCTTGGTATTTACGATGATTAATCAGTATGGTCTGATCTGTAAAATCATGGAAGAAAGAGTAACTGTTAGCCAGTGTGAAGTTGCTGCTAAATCAAACCAAGGACCTTTGATGACCGTTCTGTGTAATGATCTGACATAGGCTCAAATACTTTTTTCAAATCTTTAAGTACTGTTATCATTTACTTTAGCCTGCCTGGAGTGCCAAATGGACAGGATTAGCAGTTTTGCCACTATTCTATTAGTTCCATTGTGCCAGGCAAACTCAATCAAGCCTAGCTAAAGTATTTGAACCCAGGTCTGGTATTGACCACTATACATTACAGTACATAAAGTGTTGTGTAACGCCTAAGTTGATTAGGTGTATAAATGATGCATTGGTAGTGATACTGTTTTATACTGTGATTGTAATCACAGAGTTGGTGGTACACTAGCGTTGGATTGGAACAGAAGGAAAAAAAAAAAATTTACAGGCTTGTCCTGTAACCGTTAATGTGATCTGTATTTTGGAATGCAATGATTGTATGTTTTTCTTTATTGATGGTTTTAAGTAGTTTTTTGCGGTAACATGATCATGCTAAACTTACTAGATAACACATAAGAGGGGATTATGTAAAGATGACAAAGAACATGAGAATGGCCCTCAGGATGTTTCTGTAAGAATCTGAAAAACGGTTATAATTGTCCTGTTATTGATACAAAATTCTCACAAACAATTGTAAAACTTGATGTGAAGGACATGTGAAAAGAGTTGGTCTCTATACAATAACATTGAAGTGATTTCCCTTTCAGGTGTGTCAGTCACAGAATACACCTTTTATTTGTCATTACCTGAGTAGTTTCAAGTTTTGTTATTTTTTCCGCAAGGGGGTGTAATTGCACCATTTGACTCACCATCAAAATGCACTGTTTATACTATCTTTCCCCCTCTAAGAAATGCAATTGTTGATCATGTGAATATAACGTTTTTACCAACATATTTTTTTGGGGGGGTATGCTCACAGATTCTTGGTCACGAGGACAGAATTAAAGGGATATTTCAATCAAATCAGTTTCTCCAATGTTTTCGGATCTAAAAAATTGTCTGAAGTTTACTTCGTCTCATTCTACCGGTTGTATAGATTCAGGCTATATCTCAATCCCAAAAAGAAGGAAGAGATTGGCACACAATTATTTTCCTTTCAACTGTTGTACTGGCTTCTCTTTTATCCTTACTAGCACAGATTTTGAAGACTGCAACTATTTTTGAGGAAAGTTCTTGGCTACTTGCAATTATCATGATATGCAAAGTCTCATTAGTGTGCACCACATCCCATTTGAAACCAATGTACTTCCGTCAGACTGCATGGCGTTATTCGCATCTAGGATGTTTGGAGGGGAGGAGAGAGCAAGAGTAGGAGTGATAGAGACGGAAGGGGGTGGAGAGAGTGATAGAGATTCTGAGAGAGAGAGTTTGGACCAGCAAATCACTTTATTCCCTCCAATTTGGTAGCAAACACAACAGACTGCTGCTACAGAGTGCCTGCTACTGCTGTGGTGCCACATTAAAACAATGTATTGCTGCCTTAAGAGCAGCAAACATTACGCATTTTCTCTCCTCCCTCGCTCTTATTTGCACTTCTTATCCCTGGCTGGCTGTTTCCAGTTTGTATTTCTTTCTCACTGGCTGCTGTCATACAAGCTCGTCAGAGTGGCTCATTACAAGCCCAAATGGGCAGAGATACCACCATGCCCGCCTTGCCTACCTACCCGTTAGCGCCTGCCACCCTGGCATAAACGTCTCCTGTCACCTGAGAGAATGCCTCCGACAGTTAATTGAAAAATGTCTGCCAGGCTTGCCAGCCCAGAGTCTTTATGCCTTTTCATAGAGTTAGAAATGTAACATTCAGGCTGAGTGAGCCTTTGCTTGTTCCTGACTCAAGTCTCTTATCTTCTGGTACATTAAAACTGCATGTCTATCATTACTGACAATCCCTCTCCTTAATGGCTGCATTGACTACAAAGGTTGGACCATTTGCACTCTAACAAGAGCTGTTCTGATAAAGGGACAGAATCTTCTGTATTTTAATAATGCCCTCAACCAGGTTCATTCATTTGAAATACTAATAAACAAGATTTATCCTGAGTGTTCAAGGTCAACAAATGCACCACATCCATAATTGATACTACTACCACGGTTCTGGCTCACAAACACACACCTGTACACTATGTACTGTATGCGTGTGTTGCATGTGATTTTATCTGAGGGCTTGTATGTGTAAATCAAAAGAGTGAATGTGAATATGGGATACTATGTATCATAACTAGATGTTAAGAAGATATTGTTCTGTTAATGATTAAACTGGGCTTTTATTACACACCTAAAACCTCACCAGTCATCATCTGTTAATGAGATGACAGACTTTGACCACATATTATTGTATCACAAGATCAACTGTAGAATGCAACAGAGCTACAGTTGAAGGTTCACAAACAACACCTATTCCAAGGATCTCTCCCAGAACAGAAATGAAGATATTTCAGTGATTTGACGTTGTGATTTCAGACCAGGGAAGGACCCAACTAATAGTGAAATGTATTGTCTGATGCTTAAAGTATAGTGAAATGTATGTTTACATTTTTACATTTTAGTCATTTAGCAGACTATAGTAAAGTCTATAGTAAAAAAATGTATGATCTGGGCCCAGTTTAACAACAAAAAAAGATTTAAAAAGTCTGGATTGTGTGATCCCCTTGTTTGCAATCCACATACATCTGGTGAAATAGAAGTAAGTATTGGTAGCATGATTGTGTTCAGAATGTGTTCTTTTTATATATACATGAATATTGACCTCAAAGATCACCATACTCCCATTGACTATAATCGGGGATCCTGCTTTCTGACAACATTGCCTGCAGTACACCGGTTGGCTGTGAACTTGAAATCCTCAATGACAGGGGGCAGTCGTTCTCCCCTGATCCAAGTCTATGGAATAAGCCTACAATTTGCCATCTACTGGACAGGTCATGTTACTGCTTCTACACTGTCAGTGAAACAGATTAGTAAAATACATGAATAAAGGAAAATAAAATAAAAAATGATAGAGCCTTCATATCACTTGTAAGTACATGCATTTATTTGACACCACCCAATATAAAAACTGACCACATGAATAAACTGCAGTCAATTTAGCATAATGAAAACACAGTTATAAACCTTTGTTTTCAGATGTAAGATTGTTTTTTTAAACCTCCCCACCTTAGTTACATGGACATGTGTCAGTATAGTTAGGGTTGCAAAACTACTGGTAATTTACAAAAGCTAAATTTACGAAAGCTAACCCTAATTTTCAATAATGTTAGTAATTAAGGGAATCTATGGAAAGTTTGGTGATTTATAGTTGAATAACTTTTTGATCTTTATATCTGGGTCCATATTGTCCATGAGTTTCTAGTAGAAACCATAACGTTCAAGAGAAAGTACCTTTAAAAAAGCATCTATCAACAATGGCATAATTTGAAGTTAAGTTAAGCAACTCATCCAACAATGTACTTTTTTTTTTTTACAACTGCCACCAGTTTGGCGCCAAAATATTTACAACAAAGACATATTGACATAGTAAAATAAATAATATAAATAAAGGATATTCCATCCTGAAACCCTCATATTAAACACCAATGGTATTCACTAAGTTGATGGGTTATACAGTACACTGAGTATACAAAACATTAAGAACACCTGCTCTTTCCATGAGATAGACTGACCAGGTGAAAGCTATTACCCCTTATTGATGTCACTTGTTAAATCCACTTCAATCAGTGTAGATGAAGGGGAGGAGACAGGTTAAATAAGGATGTTTAAGCCTTGAGACAATTGAGACATGGATTGTGTATGTGTGCCATTCAGAGGGTGAATGGGCAAGACAAAAAATGTAAGTGCCTTTGAACGGGGTATGGTAGTAGGTGCCAGGCGCACTGGTTTGAGTCAAGAACTGCAACGCTGCTGGGTTTTTCACGTTTAAAAGTTTACTGTGTGTATCAAGAATGGTCCACCACCCAAAGGACATCAAGACAACTTGACACAACTATTCTACTTAAACGTATTCTACTTTAATGTTAGCATATACTGGATGTCTTTGGTTAGGTTCAATGAGTCTCTCTGGGGAGAGAGAGGGGACCAAAGCCTCTAAAATGAGTCTCTCTGGGGAGAGAGAGGAGGGGACCACAGCCTCTAAAATGAGTCTCTCTGGGGAGAGAAAGGAGGGGACCACTACCTCTAACATGAGTCTCTCTGGGGAGAGAGAGGAGGGGACCACTACCTCTAACATGAGTCTCTCTGGGGAGAGAGAGGAGGGGACCACTACCTCTAAAATGAGTCTCTCTGGGGAGAGAAAGGAGGGGAACACTGGCACCGACACCAAAGCTAAAAGGTGGGAGAGAAATGGAGGAAGAGAGCGTGTGTGTGTGTGTGTGTGTGTGTGTGTGTGTGTGTGTGTGTGCATGTACACTGTAGACTACACTAACTTCCTAAGTGTAAGCTGAACACTTCCTAAGTGTAAGCTGAAATTCCCTGATATACACCTAACAGAAATACTCCTGAGTGGCCATGGTCTAATGC